GTACCTGCACGAACCAAGGCACCCATTACTCCGACAAACTCCGGGAGAATGCGAGTTGCACTCAAGCAAGAGGGGCCAGATCAGTGACTGCTGGACGGCCTGCATGAAAAGACTGACTTTAGAGACAAATGGCAGGGTCTGAGAATTGCGGTGCTGCAGGCAGAGGGCTGATATGCGCTGAGTGGTATCGAGCAAAAGGATGTCAAGACCGTCAACCTGCCGTGGGGGCTGACTGGCCCTTCCAAGACGTACCTGTCAGGTTGAAGTGGAAGTGCACAAAGACGCTCTTGTGCAGGCTTCGAACCCAGCCGTTCAGCAGCGGGCGCCCCCCCGTCCCGTCACGGCTCGGGAAGTACCCGTCCATAATCCGCATCCCGGCTTGCGCCTCATCCAGGAAGGTGTTGAAGAAGTCCTGATTGGTCCACCTTCGCAGCTCTTCCACCACCGCTTGCAGCTTCAGCTTCACCGCCTCCCGTGACAGGCCCAGCAGGCAGCGCCAGGTCTCCTCCACCCAGTCCTGGAACCACAACAAAGGCCATGAGCGACTTGGGAGCAGCAGAAAAAGCGGTGATGGCAACGAGATGCAACTGTGCAGACTGCAGAATGGAGGGAGTGCGAAAGCAAGGTCGTCCTTCAGAAGCTACCACGGGAGCAAAGGAACTAGCATTTGACGGAGTCTGCACCCCTGTCCCAAGAAGCTAATTTCCCGAAGTACAAGCAGCCCTCACCTCCTGTGCACTGACGCCGATGAGCTGGAACAGGAGAAAGCCCTTCGGGCTGGCATGGCTTCCATGCTGGCTCAGGTACTTGCGCAGGCCCAATGCGAACGTCAGCAGGATGCGCGTGATGAACTTCTCCATGTCGAGCAGCATGTTCTCGCGGAAATCTTTCAGACGCTCTGCGTCACCCCGAACTCTCGCGTACTCATCTCTATGTCTCTCCCTCAGCCAATCGATTGCCTCCCGGAGGATGTTCGCGCCGGGCTCCTTCTCTGTGGAGAAGCTCAGGTAAAAGCTGTACTCGTGGCAGGATGCCTCGAGCGCCGTGCGGGACTTCCCGCCTCCTGAAGGCGCGATGAGCGCAGTCGCGCGGGTCTGCACCTGGCCCTGGACACCCTTGGATGCATGCAGCTGCTTATTCTGCGCCAGCAACGTCTGTGCGTTCGTAAGGCCACGCTCGTTGCGTTCGGGAAGATTCGTGAGCAGCAGGCTGGGTGTGTTGCCATAGTACACGACGGAAACATCTCTCCTCGCAACGGGGTTGCTCGGGGGTGGGGGCCTCAGATCAAGCTTCGGCTGCCCGTTCTTCTCCGGGGACACAAAGGCACGCTCCAGGATTTTGCTGACTTCCTCATCCACGCTGTCATCCCAGTCGTCATCGTTGCTCCTCCCTGCAAAATTCGAAGACAAATTTGTGGACCCTGTGTGTGTGTTTGATGTGTGGCCCAAGGACGCAAGCAGACCTGAGCTGGCAGGGGTCAAGAGAAGAAAAGACTTATCATCTCAGCAATGCGTTCAACTCTTTTTTGAAGCCAGCAGTCTCCCTGAAAATATCTAGAGAGAAACTTGTGGCACCCACGTCATTAGCTCAATTGCAAGGGCAACAGGCGAGAGGCAAATAGA